TGGTAGACACACCCTGAGTCAGGGTCGGCGCCCTGCGTCTTGCAGATAACATACGACATTGCTGTCTCCACTCTGTAGAGGTTTTACGTCTTGTTGAGACCAGTGGGAACACGCACTCAGCGTCTTCCAGTGTCCCCACTCCCTGCTCCATCGGATCCTTGATGTTTTTAACAACACCCGACGAAGAGCTGCTATCTTCGCAGTTTTCGTCCAGTGGATATCGTGCCAATCCGCGCGCATCAGAAGGGCCCTGCCCATTACTCCTTATATTGTGTACGACCATGCCACTCGTGGCATGCAGCGACTACTCCGAAACGTGAGCAGTGCTCAGTGGATTGAGTGCCACCCCACGTGCATCACTGAGGCCTCACCCTCGATGCCTCGGACCTCAATCGACTGTGATAATTGTGGTATGCACTGACTGCTCCGATACTTGAGAGCGCTCAGCGGTTTGCGTGCCACTCCACGTTTAGCTCGCGAGCCATGCTCGGGACTCCTGTCCGATACACCTTCGGTGTTTACCATCCCGGATACCCCAATCCCCAGCACATTGGCCGTCTCGGTCGAGAGCTCGCGCCAATCGCGTTTTTGTATTCTAGCAGAGATGAGCTCATGACTCACCGAAGCTCCACCAGGAGACGTGCGCGTAGTGCCCAAGGTCTTCGCCCTCTAGTCGATTCATGGCTCACAGTGTTTTAACAATGCCATATCAAGGATGAGGTCATACCTTGAATCCAAGGCTAAGAATTAGCAGCGTTCTACGCTACCAAAGTCAAGAAACTGACATCGAGGTCCACAGGGACCTTCGGCACCGTGACACATGTTCCCGTCGCTAAACAAACAGTGACGTGTCACTCAACCGCGCCTTCAGCGCCTCAGCATACAGCTGACTTCCTTCCTTCGTGGAGCGTCGAGCATTATTGCCCGATGCTCCAAATTCGATAAGGACCTTCCATGGCTTCTCAAAGCTCTTCACGCCAAGCAAGCCTGGCTTGCATACACGTTCTGTATTCAAGAGCAGGGAGCTCTTCAGAGCTTGGGCCTGCGGACGTCCACCTTCTTGGGGCTCATTTCATTCCCAGTAGGGCCCTCGCGTCTTCTGATTGTTGCCGTTTCCCCACAACAAACCAGAAGACTGGTAAGAAACGGGACGTCGATTCGAAGAACCTTGACGCTCCTTAAGGTGACGGGTGTCTTACAGACAAAACACCGTCGGGTGTTCGAGTGCAGCTCGGCAGCTCTGCCTCATCTTTCTCAGCATAGCTGATATCCATCAGCTCAGGTCCGCTAGACGAGCTACTAAAGTGTGCGTTCCGACCAAGTCTTGCCGACTTATAGTTGAATTCGGTATTCAATGTCACATTCACTGCTTCTTTAAAAAAAGATAGATGCACACGGAAGACTTCCATTCTGGCCAAGCCAGTGCTGAGGTCCTCCATAAAGACGGTTACTGTGGACGCCTCGGGAAGCGGATCGACTGCCATAGCGGCTATGAGAGTACGTAAATCTCAGACGATTTTCACCAATTCCTTCTTGTCCTGTTGGGTGTCAAGGAAACGCGACTGCACGCGATTTGCCTGGTTAGTCGGCGAGAACATTCGTGAAAGCTGCAGCTTTAGCTCCGTCCATGAAGAAAACACCGCACTTATCGAAGTACCGCACGTCAGCGCCCATTCTCGCGCTCAATCCCCAAGCTTGGAGATAGCTAGCGCCACACGTTGTTGCTCGGTCTGGATCATGGCAGACGCGATGGCCATCTCGGCCCTTCTCACCAAGAACAGGAGATTTTCTCCATTCTTGCCCTAACAGGTCTTGATACTTACCATGAGCGGCTCGGTTGGGGGGTCATCCGTCACCGACAGTGACGTCATGGACGCAGTCGAGACACCAACATCTTCTGCTGTCGGTACTCTAGCAGAGCATTTTTATAGGTTGATCTCGTCTCCAATCGCGGGGATCGCTTCAGGTCCTTGCGAAGCGAGGTGTTGCACCCCTCAATATCAAGGAGATACATCAGCTTTGTAAGGCCATCCTGAATACTGGGGCAAATAGGAGGACTACTCCATCCTCACAGAGGGTCAGTCGTAACGACTCATGTGTATATTGACTACAAGTGCTACCAAGGGCAGCGGGGCTGCCGTAGCTCTTTCGCTTAGAGGAAGCTTGGTTTAGATCGGCAGCCTTCGTTCTATACATAAAATTGGATGGGTGGGTTCGGTGTGTATCCACAATCGCACGGTACGAACCTTATTACAACCCCCACCAAGATGAGCACCATTCCGGGTTCGCACATTTATTGCCCTGTCAAGACAATGTGCCAAAGTGCAAGCACAACGAGCATCCGCTGCGCGTGAGGTTCTACTACACCTTTGCTTTCGACAGTACCTGCTCCTAAGAGCACTTATCAGCTTACTCAGTGAGTGTAACGGGAAAGAACTGTAATTTTTTGTGTACTAATACCTTATACATTTGGTGCAGTTGTATATAATACGATACGGCGCAATTGTACGAAGTTCATGCTGCACTTTGGCGTAGTTGTATATATGTATAGGTACCGAAGTATTGGTATTCTATGAAGTTGATGAAATTCCGAAATGTAGGGGCGTGTGATACACGTGAGCTGCTAGCTGCCTGTCATAGCATACCTGTTGGGCTTGATAGATGTTATAATTGGTTGAATAGTCCCTGGTTTTTAACATCGCCACGAGGTAGCTTCGGTCTTGATGAGGAGGAGCTATCGATATAAATCAATTCGCTGATACTGTTACACTCGCTGATATCAGCCCCGTCATACTTCACACAAAAATCATCGACTCAGTTCATCAGATTGGGCGTTATGCACAGTGTGCATGACACTTAAGCTGAAGGCTTAACTATAAAGATGCAGCAAGACATTACCAGATGCAATTGTAGAAAATACAAAACTGTTGTAGTGTGATTTTCCTGAATACGATCAACCTCCCCACTCATGCGGTGTTTGAATGAGTTTTGACCACGTTACATCAGATCGCTCGCGGTTACAGCAAAAATAAGTAATTGATCGTTTTATTTCATCCCAATATTAATGCAAAAACATCCTTTGCTTCAAAGGGACTTGTTAGAGCCATACCAATCCCGCTTTTTCGAGCTAGTCGGTATTCAGGCGCTCTGTTTTAGACAAAGCAGTTTTACCATCCCTTATTGCTGAAGCACCCAGAGCAGCGACGCGGTTTAGGGTTCGGAATTCAAAGCATCGCAGTACGATAGAAATTTTCGGAGATCGAGTCCGTCATTTGACTTATTCAAGTGCTGAACATACGCAGAGATTCTCAAAAAGGGACGACGTGATCTCACACCCAACATAGCTCATGAGAGCCAACTAAGGGGGGTGCTTCCTAGCGTACTGAGTGGGTGGGCGATTATACCTGAGTTGTATTCAGGATTTATTGAAGTGTAAAGGATACTATGGTCCAAAACATTTGTGAGAGTTCGACGTCCCATCTTGAAGAAATTTTCTGGTGTATCGTGGCCGATTACGGCCTGGCGCACCCTCATCCTTGACCGTCTCTGAAAAACCGCAGCGCAGTTCGTATTAGTTAGTTGATCAGAAGCTTGTTGTATATTTGGCTCTTGTTGTATCGGAGTTACAGTTGTCACTCGGAGACGAGGAGGCTGTTAACTTTAAGACTTGTGGTAATGAGGCTTCACTGTTGTGCCCGCGTTAAACTTTGCCCCTTTTAGAGTCAAATATCAACCGTCTCTCTTATAAGACGTCTGCTTCGCTGAGGTTGGTGCAAAGTCATGCAGCAAAAGAGTTTACGTGTTTTCTCACCCAGCGCTGAAGTGTGCACAATACTCTCCAGTACTCTCGTCGCTTCAAATACCCAAGGTACATCCCTCATAGAAGAGACGGGCTTTTCCAACCAATTCTTTTAGAGCAGGCAGTACTCCTGAATAGTGATGACCCGTATGCTAGATAAGCGCCCTCGAAGCGTTGATCTGGCGCTCAGTTGACTCTCGGTGTTAGCCGAGGGCCCGCCCGCATAGGCGTGTAGGGGTTCTGCCCCGGAAGGGTGAGTAACATGTGATGATTGAGACCTATCGTCACTACGGAACGAATAAGCAAGATTGGCGTAGTTCGTGCGCCTCAAGACGTTGAAGTTGGACTCTTTGAGCCAAGTCCAATACTTTGCGACGACATAGACACCACATTGAGTTCCACGATGGGGCGCCACAACGCTACAAGTATAAGTCCAAATGGGGTCAATACTGAATATATGTACTCAGGATCTAGCAGCTCTAAGTTGACACCTAATCACGGTAGAGACTCTCGAGTCCTCTCATGATTAAAGCATGCGCACTTAGCTTCTGTGCGTTTGAGCGCAGAGTCTTAAAGTATATGGTTATTTCGTCTGTGCGGCAACCCCGTTGCAGAGATGTATGCAAATCATCATTCCGAAAATAAATTTGATATGAATGGCTAACAGCTCACAAATACCATTATTTCTTAATACAAAGATCCATCAGCTCCATAAATACCAATACTTTGGTATGCATGAACATGCATAATTTCTGCAAAGTGCGACGCATATCGTGTACAATTATACAGTATTGTATTAAATACAACTGTGCAAAATATGCAAGGTGTAAATACAAGCGTTTATAGTATTTACCCATGTGCATCCACCCCAACTAGGATGTGACCACAGTAGGGCTTCTACTGGAGACTAACTCCGCCTTTTGCACTGTAACATGCCTGCTTCTTTTGCACCAAGAATTCCCCCTATAGACCTGAATAAATGGCCCAACGATTTTTGCAAAAGGCGTGGCCATTGCGACCAACGCGCTGAATGCATTTTATGTGAGAATGCCACGTTATTCCTTGGTTCATTCTCACTCTCACCCGACAACATATGCATAGCCGTTCTTAAGCAGGTTCTTGCTGGATTTAACCTCTTCCATGTATACCTTGCCCTTCCCATCGACGCTGTTACGGCACTCTGTCGTGAAGCTTGCAATGTATCCAACTCGTTACCCGTGATCGACTACAACTTCAATATTTATGACGGTCTTCTGTGCAGATGGTCACGACTTCAAAAAGTCTAAAGTTGCTCACAACACTGAGGCGAAGCCCTTACAAACACAGCTTACCGCGTCAAATGCAACACGAATGCGAGAAATTTAGTCCATGAGCGCCTTCCCAGACCATAGGTCATCAATCCTCGGAGATCCACCCGCGCTTTGCGTAGCAGCGGCTAGAAAGACCCTTGAGTAATTGAAGTTGGCGAGATTGTCAATCAATATCCTCTTAATAATTGAGCAGAACGCAGATGATTAAATGAAGATGGCTTGTGGTCGAAGAGGTAAAACCAAAAGTGATGTAAACAAGACCTAGTTCGCACTACTGCTACATCTAAGCTTACTTGATTTATCGACATACGCAACCATCAAGAACATTCGGAGAATGTTCTGCACCCACTATCTGCACCCATTATAATCCCACTGTGAGCCCATGTTAATGGGTTGTGTATTCAGAGTAACGGGTTATGAACCCTCTCCCATCACCTTCAGCAACTTGCGCATAACACACAGCCGCAGCATCACCTTTAACACTCTCCCTTGATGTGTGCGTGGGCATGGTCGTTCGATGCTGCAAGGCAAAGACTGTAGGCGAAGCCTGCATGCTTGACTCGCCCAAGCGCCTTTGTCAATCCGTCGGCTGTCATCTTGTCCGTCGGATTGTACTCAAGTACGATGACGCTTTCTCACTGTATAAAGTGATACTTGATGTCGATATGGTTGGTTCGCGCGTTTTTTCGTCAACGCAATGCAACCCTGGTTGTCTTAGTTGGTGCTCTCGATGCATGGTCCGTATACTTCAACAGTAGCCGCAGTCACACCGCCTCTTGCGTTACAGAGTAAAGCGCCATGTACTCCGCATCGGTGCTTGATGTCGCCACCGTAGTTTGCCGCTTGGACTTCCATGATACCACGCTGCCGCTAAAAAAAAGCTAGTTGTGGAGCGGCGTGAATCCAAGTCGCTTGCCCACGATGCATCTGCAAAACCTATTATTACCTTTCCCTTGCTCTTTCCGTCAAACACGATGCTGTAGTCCGCAGGCGTCTCCAAGTACTTTAGTATGCGTTTGGACGCGATCCAATGTTGCCCTCCGCAGTACTTGACCACCTCGCCCACTGCATAGGCAATATCTGGTCGCGTGCACGTTGCAACATACATACATCAGTGCACCTACCAGCTCACAGTACGGCCACTAGGGGAACAACACATCGTGCTCTCCAATCTTGATCAGCTTTTCACTCTCATTTGCTGGTGTATGACCTTCCTTGCACTTGTCAACGCCAAACTTCTTAGCCAATGGTTTGATGTACGCGCGCTGGTCCATGCAGATGGTTTTCTCACCGGGTCATGCCGTATCTTGATCCCAAGGTTGTACTTGAGCAGTCCTAGCTCTTTGATGCTGAACTCGCTCTTGCGCCCGCGCGAATAGCATCGGATCGTCGACGTGGATGATGACAAGGCTGAACTCAAACTCCCAACGCTTTACGTAGACGCACACATCGGTCGCTCTACACTTGAATTCTTGCTCTTGAAGACGTGCATTAAGTCGGTTGTTCCATTCGCAGGCTGCCTGCTTTGTGCCATACAACGCCTTCCGCTGTAGACATTTATTTTCCGAATGCTTCGCGTCATTAAATCCGTCCGGTTGATCCATGTAGATTGCCTCCTTGACTTCACAATATAGGTATGCAGTGTCGACGTCGACATTCTTGATCACTAAGTCTAGTTCGGCTGCGAGCGCTAGAGCCACGTTGATTGACTCCTTGCGCACCACCGGTGCATAAGTCTCGATGTAGTCCACTCCGGGCCGCTGAGCGAAGCCCTTGGCTACGAGCCGCGCCTTAAATTTGATAATTTTTCGCTCGGTTCGCGCTTAATTCGAAACACCCGATTGCACCCAATTGCCTTCTTGTCACTCGGTAGATCCACAAGCGTTCATGTCTCGTGCTGCGCAAGTGATTGGATTTCACTTTGCATTGCACACAGCCACTCATCTCTGTATTTGCTTTGCTGCACTTGTTCGAACGTCGACGAGCTCTCGCCGGCATCTTCAGCGCTGAAACAGTTCAACGTGTCGTGCTCGGCTTCATAGTCATCCAGGCTGAACTCTCCGCGCCGCAGATTTGGGAACTCATGCTCGTAGCGCAACACCGCCTGCTTCTTGCGCACCGGCCGCACATGCGACTCGTTCTCACCGTCGCGTCCTGGTGTGCTTGAATGCTGTGTTGGCACAGCGCCTCTTGAACGCTCATTCAGCACTTCCTCGACACGTGTCGGGGTCCCTCTAGGTCCTGTCGGTAGGGTCTGGTAACTCTCCTTGGCTGTTGTATCGCTTGGCTCTTGATCATGCTCATCATCTCCCACGGCGTCGATCAGACTTGGCTCACCCTGTCTGTGCGTTTTTATTGTTGGCGCGTTCTCTGCAAATGTCACGCTGCGTGAGATAATAATTGCTTTCGTGCTTTCGTTCAGCAGACGATACGCATTGTGCTGCATTGAGTAACCGAGCATCAAACAGCGCACGCCTGAGCTGTCGAGCCCCCCCCCCGCACTGCCTTAGCTTCATGCGCGTAGCACTGGCTGCCGAACACGCGT